TTGGTTGTCTGCCAGCTTCCTAGATCTACCATCCCTCCTTACCCAAAAACAAAAGCCACTAACTGCGATATAAATACATTTTCTCCTCTTCTAATAGTAGTTGCTATTTCTTGGAGTTTAAGCTCCGCAAAAGTGTGTGTGTGTGTGTTAAGGGACGGGAGCGCCCATCATATATGATATATCATAAATGTGGAATAAAATAGTATAATAATGATAATAATAATAATTTTATTTATAAAGCGCTGTTAACAAACAAAATGTAGGCTCAAGGTGCTGTAATAACATTACAAACACAAACACGACAGCTAAAATGACAAACTAATCTAAAAAAGGTTTTAACAACTACCGATAGGTCTTAATGTTCTTCTTGAAAGTAGTGTAGCATGATGTCTGTCTTTTGAGTTGCAAATCTTTGGTCCGTGCACTAAAAAAGCCCGCAGTTCATAGCTTTTGGGGGAGAAACGTGGCACCACGAAAAGCATTGTGTCCATTGAGCGCAGGGCTTTCTGAGGGGCATATGGAGTGATCAAATCTCTAAGGTACAAGGGCATTTCTTTGTTGTAGATACACTGATGACAAAGTGTCGCCACCTTGTATACTGTAGTATTATACTGATAGAACGGAAAGAATTTGGTAAAGAAACTCTTGAGTTGTAACATGTATAACAGTAGATCTAATGAGGTTTAAAATGTATAATATCTCTTTCTAGTGTGCTATACCCCCCCCCCCCCCTTTTTCCAGCTATTATAAAAATCAACAGTCAGCCCTGGAAACAAAAACATTTGCGTCATTATATATAGATCTAGGTCAGCGTCCATCAAATTAATGACTGTTTTTCATCGTCTAAATGAGCACTTGCATAACTGTTATTATTAATTAGAGTGCGTGTTTGTATTTCATTGAGAGAAGCCATCCCGACTTAAATAATCCTTTAGGGTTTGACGTTGAAAGCAAAACTGATACTTTGAGAAAATCTCGCAATGCACACTCCCTATCACCAAACTGGGTCAGCCTGTGCTAAAAATACATTTCATTGACAGACGACGAAATGGGCGGGGCTTAGAGCCATCCAACAAAAAAGTCGCCCCGTGGTTGAATGACTCATTTATTTACCGGGTTTTCGTTCGGTGGTTCTCGGATCACTCCGCCTCTCCTCTAGTCATTGTCATATGATGAGATGGTGAGGGAAACAAAACAATAACATGTCGTGGGCGAAAGGGAAATCAATTCATACCAGCACACACCTCCAGCTTTGTGATGTGTTGGCGAAGCTGTGTGTTTTTGTTTACGAAGTGGCCTACACTCTTGTTCAACGTGACCATGACTTGTAAAGAGGTAAACAAAGCGGCTTCCCCCGAGGTCGTAAACAAAACCCATTCGCTACTTAATGTACTGCTACTATTTGACATTGCTAACATGTAAATAGGTAAATATACAGGCGAAGGTGGCCCGACCTAACAATCAAAAGTCATGTTGTTTTTAAATTAATTTTTGTTTCATTACATACTCCACCTTTTAAATCCAGGCACTTCTGCAAGCATTCAGGGCACAGGCATTTCTCCATAAAATAGTTGTTTACAAAGGTGCATAAGAGAGAGATAGATAGAGAGAGAGGGAAAACGCAAAATAGAGCAGCGAAATTTATAACAAAAACATTTTATTAAAATAACACCATTAGTAAAATCAATAAATTTTACAGACACTTCAGGACAGAAGAATAAAAAGTCAAGTAGCTATAATACATAAAACATTGAACCATAATCTTCAAGTAAAAAAATAACACAACCTACTAAAGTACTCAGAAAGACACAAAGATAAAGACACATTTCTTGTTCCATACGCTAGGGAAAATTCATACAAGTGCTCCTTCTTCCCTCGTGCCTTAGAGAATGGAATGGGTTGCCTCAACTAGGATAACAAGCGACCTTAAGTCATAGGCATGCCTAGATTGACATATGAAATGTGGGTTGCCTGAACTAGGATGACTAACGGCTTTAAATCACAGGCATGCCTAGATTGACACATGAAATGCCCTTACGTGGAGTTCATTATCCTAGATATCATCAACGCAATAAGTCATAAGCTTCAAATGATGTCAAATGATGTGTTCTGACTACCAAAACGTCTATCCCTACACACACAATGATTTGAAAAGGTTTGTAAAGTTCGTTTCAAATCGGGCGACAACTTTTAGATATTGTAAATAATTGTGTGATTTCAAATGTGAACAAGAGCAGACGCCTCCTTGTTTGTTCTGGGAGTGACGGCCTTGAACTCTTACGTAATGTGTTCCACACCTTGTCGTAATACACGATTGATGCGACATTCAATAATGAACGCCGTGTAATGACGTCAGCAGCTGCGCCAGCTGACTTTTGTTTTTACAAATAAAAAAAGGAATATATGTGTGTACTTGTACGTGTATATGTGTGTATTAGGGGGGGGAGCTAGAAAGGTATACAGGAAAATTTACGTATGGATACCCCTCTAACCCTAATGATTCTGAATAACGTTTCCACAACCAGAAGGGAAGGGTGAGTTGTAGGAGTGATATTGCGCTTGGCTTCCAAACCAAAAGGTAAAGCGTCCAGTGAAGACTGGGATTTTGAATTTCAGGTTGCTTCACCTTTACCTATCCCTAAGTTCGTTGAAACGCTGTGGCTCCACACATGATCTGTCGACGTCTTTCTCCATTCCTGTTTTTTTTTTAGCCTTGAATAAAATCTCTTTCAAAGTCAGGCTCTTTCATGCCTTAAGTTGTTTTCCCATCTTTTTCGCAGCCTCTTCTTTTTCCTGGTACTGTTCCCCGAAGGAATGTCTTTGCCAGCCATTACCAGACTAAATGTTTTCTTTTGTGCAAAGTTTGTGCATGGTTCGTAGATTCTCTCCTGTGGTAATCTACCTGCTGGGTTGCATCATTTCCCATTGACAAAGGTTATGAGATACCAGACCGAAACACTATCACCCAACAAAAAAAAACAATCATCTAGATCTATCACAAGTGGACGTAATCATCTTCTTTTTTGAAGTAACGTCTGTATTACATAAGATAAGTGGATATGGGAAATATCTTGGAACACAACCGCCACCCGCTCCATCATAACTACGTCAAGTCGTAGCGAAGTGGGCGACTTCTGCCACTCAAGACCAGATCCGAACGGTTCAAAAAATCGTTCGGTTTTAGACCGTGGGAGGCGCGGTGGCTGAGCGCTTGGCTTACGAACCGAGGTCCCGGTTTTGAATCCTGGTGAAGACTGGGATTTTTAATTTCAGGATCTTAGGGCGCCTCAAAGCGTGACCTATGTCGAAGGCGCCGCTCAGAGACAAACCAGCTCTAATGGGTACCTGACATTAGTTGGGGAAAAGTAAAGGCGGTTGGTGGTTGTGTTGGCCACGTGACAAGCTCGCTTAACCGTGGGGCAGAGAAACAGATGACCTTTACCATCAGCCGGCAAAGTCTGAGAGGGGAAAATTACTTATCAGCGCTACTTGTTGACCAGGAAACATGAAAAGGATCGCGACTTCCGTGTGTAGTCAATGAATGAACTTTGTATGTTGTTTGTTCTATTTATCGCAATGGTGTTGATTTCTATATGAGAAAAAGTCCTTTCCAATTAGGAACAATAAAGCCGTCTTATTCACCATCATCCGGTTAGTCATTGTGCTGGCCACATGGCACCCTCGTTAACCGTAGGCCACAGAATCAGACGACCTTTACATCATCTGCCCTATAGACCACAAGGTCTGAATTCACCAACATCCCAATAGCTTAGCCCTTGGGTCTTAGTATCTTAAGATAATTCACCAAACAATGTCATTTATTATAGTTAAGGAAACATTTCATGAGCGAGATGACACTTCCTTAACAAACAAAACGTCACGACCAAAACGGTTGTTGTTTTTTAAAGTCGATTTTTTTTCTTAAACAGCTTTCATAAGCACCATAATAAGTTTGCAAGGTCTATTTTTGTTTTTAAAAATTGCTAAAGGGAGGCGACCATGTAAGATTTTATAGTTTTCTTTTTCAGACGAGTTACTTCCCATATTAGTAAAATTAATTGAAGGCATTTAGTAGAAGATACAAAGGATGCGGGACGTGACAGACGTCATCTGGTTAATTTACAAAGAAAACCAAATTGAAACAATTGTAGAAAAAATTGCAACAAAATTACTATAAAGTGAAATATAATTTATCTTATAACATCCTATCATTTACATTAATAAGTAATTAGAAGTTAACATTCTCCACTTGTCAGTTGCCACTTTTTTTTTTCGTTTTGAAAGCGGCTGAGTTTCCTCTTATAAACTATTCCTATAAAGGCGTGGTGGCTGAGCGGTAAAGCGCTTAGCTTCCGAACCGGGGACCGGGCTTCAAATCCTGGGATTTTTAATTTCAGGATCTTCGGGCGCCTCTGAGTTCACCCAGCTCTAATGGGTACCTGACATTAGTTAGGGAAAAGTAAAGGCGGTTGGTCGTTGTGCTGGCCACATGACACCCTTGTTAAACGTAGGCCACAGAAACAGATGACCTTTACATCATCTGCCCTATAGACCACAAGGTCTGAAAGGGGAACTTTTTTTTATATATAGAGGTTGAGGGGACGTACTTCAGGTGCGGTCACTGATATAGACCTGACCCAAAAGCTGTAATGTGATACCAACATGATGGCGTAAAGGATGAACTTGTTGATTTTTTTTTTTTTAAATCTAGCATGCATCAAAATTCATTGGAAGAGTCGAGAAAGTGACAAGAACTGTAAGAAAAATGATTTTCCCTAGGGATTGACACATTAACCTTGTTTCTGTCACTTCATCAGAGTACGCTACTTCAGCTCTGTACTTTCAACGAGTCAGTGGTTGCAGTGAGAAGTTGATGAGAAAGTCACATGACCAAACACTTTAAAATATACTTAGAAATAAAAAAGTGCTCCCCTTCCATCCAGTTGGATATTATTTGTCCCCCAAGAAATACCCAGACATTTATCACAAATAAAAAAAACACAGGACCTTCGTCTCAGTAGCACAGCTTAGCACATCATTTTGTATTCAGAACATTTCAAACAGAGCATAGTGACAATTCCCACAGAACTATTTGAGTTTAACAAAATCAATTTTTACAATGACATGTTTTTATTTTTTAATCAATTAACATATAAATGAACTATTGATATGAATTATTTATATAAAAAGAAGCACAAAATAAGGAGAAATATGCAGGTAGCAAATGGATTTGCATAATCATAATTATCATATGAAACACTACACTCATCCTTAATCCTCGGAATCAAAGACATTGCTATTATTATATATATTTATATAGTTTTGCAATGACTGTGTGTTTATATTTAATGAATAGAGTTGTTTGTTATCATGTAGCTTGAAAACATTGATTATGAATAAGTTGAACATGTGTTTGAAGTGAAGCCAGATAACAATCGAATACAGAGACATTTTCTCAGAGACCATTTGTTTTGTTTCTACAAGTGAACACAAAGTTTGATCAGATAACAGACCAGTTCTTTTTCCAGATTTAGGGAACACTGCCCGCCAAGCTTCATCTTGTATACTAGGCACCCACAGTAAGTTGACCACCTCTCAGGTGTTCCAGAAGGGAGTTACCTTTGCAGAAGTCCTATTTCACACGCTCAGGCGCAACAGCTGGAAGGTGAGCCTTGCTGCTCGGCATCTTAAGAAAGAACTGACATGGGCTTTGCACTTTTTCTGGAGAACAGACTGTGCCAGGTCATTATTACTATCTTTCTGACAAGGAAGAGAGGGTCAAGCCAAAACTGATGTCATTTTGTTTAACTCCAGTTTGTGGGTTAAACTCTTCCAGGTGAAATGGTCAAGGAGCAGAAGGAGCTGAGTTCACTGGTTCCCAGGGGTACGTTTTGGGAGGAGGATATTAAGTAGCCAACACAACAGCTTTTCTCCTCAAGAGATGTCAAGTAACCATTAAAGATGGTAGGATTCAATATTCTCATCCACAGATGTTAACTATTAAAGATAATAGGATTCAATATTCTTATCCACAGATGTCTAGTAAACCATTTAAGATGGTAGGATTCAATATTCTCATCCACAGATGTTTACCATTAAAGATGGTAGGATTCAATATTATTCTCAAATGTCAAGCAAAAAGCATTTGTCTTCATCAGATCTGAAACCAAGATTCTCAATGCAAAAGCTTTACTATGTCATTTCCATATACATCCATTGATTACTCATTCAATTTCTTTTGATCCAAAAGCTATGCAAACACTTCAGCAAGCCAAGTGAAAACTCGGGAAGCCAGATTTAGCAATACTTGAGCAAGAAAAGTGAAAACTCGGGAAGCCAGATTTAGCAATACTTGAGCAAGAAAAGTGAAAACTCGGGAAGCCAGATTTAGCAATACTTGAGCAAGCCAAGTGAAAACTCGGGAAGCCAGATTTAGCAACTCAAACATATAGTTTATAACCTCTCGGTTTAAAGTCTTCTGTTTATCCATTCCTCATTGCAACTCCTGTATGTCTTTAGAACATTGTTTCTAGGTAAAGTACAATACCCACATGTTCAATGAACTGTCCTGCATTTTTATTATTCACAATGATACAAGGGAGACAACTAAGTTCCTGTCCTGAAGATAGAAATTATCTATCACTGATTAATCATGAACATATTATCACTAGTCCATTGAAGCTTTGACTCTACCATATGGGTTTCAGTATTGCTGTCACATCGCCTCGGCAGTATCCTCTTTGTGGACAAATTAATTGCGTCGCAGGTTAGAATAAATCTTCTTCCTCGTACTTAACGACTTCTCTGGAGTCCTTGCAGGAAGCTCCTTTCTGTGATGTGTTGGCCGCTAGAAAAGAGGATAAAAAAGTTTTGGATTGTCAAGATTTACAGTATAATATGAGACGCTTCTATACAAAACTTTTCTTTAATATAAATACCAAATTGTTGGAAGTAAAACCTTAAAATGCTATCATGTTACAAGAAGTGGGGTTTTGAAAGTAGTAGCACCTCTGCTTTCTGGTGAAGAATGTTTTTCTTTTCTGTGTGGATAATTTTACTAATTTGAAAGAGACATAAGGAAGTCTTCATAATTCAACTAGGTCATAGCGGTTCAAATCAAAAAACCTTTTCTAATAACTAATTTCAATCCTTAGTCTCAGCTACTTTGGTTGGTGATATGGACAATCTTAGTGTCAAGAAAATAAAAGTTTATTGAATACACAAATTGTCTTCCTAGCTAAACAAACACACAAACAAAGTTATTAACAATAAAAAAGAACAACTAATCAATACCCGATTATAAAATGGACAACATTGGTTGTTATTTCTTTTTGTAATCTAATCACATATCTTACTCTCATCAAAACATATATCTACTGTATGACTTAGCTAACTCTGGGAGCACACTGAATTCTCCTTCTCAAGGTGGAGATTAAAGTTTTCCTTTCAGACCTTGTGGTCTATAGGGCAGATGATGTAAAGGTCATCTGTTTCTGTGGCCTAAGGTTAACAAAGATGTCATGTGGCCAGTACAACGACCAACCGCCTTTACTTTTCCCCAACTAATGTCAGGTACCCATTAAAGCTGGGTGGACTCAGAGGCGCCAAAAGATCGCGAAATTAAAAATCACAGTCTTCAACATGATTTGAACCCGGACCCCCAGTTCAGAAGCCAAGTGCTTTACCGCTTAGCCACCACGCCTCCTGGAGATTAAGTAAATGTTATGTCTTTTGACTTTCAATAAGTCAGAAACAAAATTCAAGGTATCAACGGTGGGACTGAAATTCAGGGCCTCACTGGTTGGGACCAAAATTAAAGAATAGCACATGTTGTGACCTCCATATAGAACAGGGGTTCTCAACCTGTGGGTCGCGACCCCTTTAGGGGTAGATTGACGATTTGCCAGGGGTCGCCTAAGACCATCGAAAATATGGATTGTTTTTGCCTTTTCTTCTATTGCTGTGTGGATGGGGGTCGCCGCAGAGTGGGGATTGTAAAAAGGGGTCGCCGAGCTTAAAAGGTTGAGAACCACTGATATAGTTGTAATTGACATTTTAACTTTTTTTTTTTTTTTAAAAAGTAAATGCAATTAGAGAAATTGAGAATGTAGCTGAAAACTTTATATTCTGTACACCTGAAACACTATAAATAGCAACCTATAGTTTAGTTGTTCACAATTAATGGGGGGATCTCCAATACAAATTAAAGTTATAGTCTAATGTTTTGTGCACATCAGATTTCTAAAAGGTAAATTTACAAGCCTATAACAGCCAGCAAAAAATTGATTTATGAAAACGAAAACTTCAGCCTAAGTTATCAATATCTGCGAATGGAAACATATCAAGTGTTGACAGGGTTAAGAGTCTCACTTGAAACTAGATTCACTGTAAGGGTCTAATATTAACAAGACTTACCTATGCTTGACCAAGATGACTGCGATGCGCCTTCCACAGGGGGTTCATAAACAGGCTGCCGCCTAGCCATCTCAACATGTAAGTGAATATTATTGGTCAGACCTCCAGCCACCTGGAACAAAACGAGAACAATGCACTTATATTAACCCTAAACACTCATTTATAAACACACACTTATCTTGAAGCATCTGAGATATGAAACATATTTTATTAAAGGGTTAAGAACTATTCCACCATGATGCCTAGACTAATAATGCATGGAATATACTCACACACTGAAGGCTGCTTAAAGCTAATTTAACGCTTTAACCCCTAAATGTCTCTGTCATCATGTGAGAAGTTTATATAAGCTTTCTACCTACTTTAATATGCTCAGTATTGGACATTTTCACTATCAATTAAACCAGTTTCCCAAACTTTCCCTTAACAGATCATTTCGCCCATTCTGAGTATTTAGCGAAACACTTTGCTTATTTTTAGATAGATTAATTCACATGGTGGCCGAATAGTTAATTATTCCAGTAGTTCATGGGACACCTATTCATGCCTCGCGGAACACTGAACTAAACAACATCAAGAACGCTAAATTGAATGGCGTAGTTGCCAAGGGATTGAGCCATATTTTTAACAAAATCTCAATGCATGTTACCAGTCTTTGACTCGTAGCACCAAACTGCTGGTAGACAACTAAACCATTGTGGGCATAATATATATCTTAACTAATAAAACTTCTAATAACTTGAATGACTTCCATGAGTGAACAAACTAAATAGAATTTTATTTACAATATAGACAAAATCAACTTCTTGTAAATGTAATAACTGTACTAGACTTTTAACAAAATCTAACCCACTACAATAACATAACCTTTTACTCTCATGTTCTGGAGTCGTCTCCCCTAAGACCAAGTGATGACAATGCAGCCTTATGTTGCACCTCTTCCCTCCATCACCATAGAAACATACACACACACTCCATAAAAACTGAATGTGTATTTCATATTATTATTATTATTTCTTTTATTACTTTTAGTTAGTTGACCATTCTTTTTTAAATAAGTTTTCAAGTCATTGAATGAAAGTCTTATGTTTCCTTCCTATTGAAAGTTGTGTTGGTAATCAGAAAAGCTTAGAGACATTTGACTGAGCAGTGATAAAAAGGGCAACAAAATATTAACATCTGCCGTCAAAAAAATTTTGTTTATCTAATCCACACTTCCTTTCTTAAGTACACTGGAGACACCGAAAAAGTTATTTATAGCAGTTTGCCATATATAACAATCTCCAACTGTCACAGATTTTTTCTTAAAAAGAGCTATGTGCTAAGCCTAATGAGATCACTTCTACACCAACAAGACTTTGTTAGAACTAAAATGCTATCATGTTGCAATAAGTGTTTTTGAAAGCAGTACATGTCTGCTTTGTGGTACAGCATGTTCTTTTTAGAATAATTTTAACTAATTTGAAAGCGTCATAAGGAAGTCTTCATGCAAGCCTGAATTCAACTAGTGGCTCAAATTACTGAATTATATTCGAGGTGTACCCCCCCACCCTAACCTTTTCGAATAACTAATTTCAATCCTTTGTCTCAGCTACTTTGGTTGGTGATATGGAAAATCTTTGTATTAAGAAAATACAATTTTACTGAATACACAAAATTGTGTTCTTAGCCTAAAACACACACAAAGTTATTAAAAAAAAAAAAAAGAACAGCTAACCCTAACCCAATTATTTAAATGGAACTTACCCCCACAATGGCTTGCTCTGCTTGTTCCACTTTCTCAAATGTCACAAATGCAGTTCTGTTCAAACAAGTCAGATACAATTGATTAAACGGTCTCATTAGATTTATTTGAAATGTGACAAAACTCATTAAAATTGCATATTGCTTAAACTATTGTATTTTCCACTGAATGTGCGCTCTATAGAAACTGCTCTATAAATTCAACAATTTGGTAATACTGTTAAGTGACATTTATAGTTCACTAAAAATGACATTATTTCAAAAATGTCCAATGGACTGGGTTTTGCTTAGTATGTGAAATGTAAAAATGAAACTTATAATTAATGAAATAGACTTAAGAACATTTAGAAGTTGGAGAAGGTTTGTAAGAAAACAGCTTTAATATTATAGGCCATTAGGCGTACAAATGTAACCAATAACAAAGACATGACAAGAGAATATACACTACTGTAGCACTACACACTACTAAAATAGCTTATAAAAGGTTTGAACAAAAAATGAGTCAATATTTCCACTCTTCTCAAAGCGACGTGACTCCTTAATTTAATCTTCAGACTCGGAGAAAAGTCTTTAAATAGAATTGAGACAACACACACAAGCTTATCTGAGCACAGACATGAAACATGAGAAAAATGTCAATGTAACAAACTTAACTGTTTCTCAGGCTCCATATTAATGTTTAAGATGTTGCCGAAATTAGAAAAACTTTTCTGAATAATTTCCTTCGTGATCCCTTGACCTTTGACAAAAAGTGTTTGACCTTTCTTAGGAGGGTCTCTGTGTTCTCGTTCATAACCTCCTTGAAAAAAAAAATTATAAATAAATTTACTGGGTTTTTTTTTTCCTTTTTAAGAATTATCATACTTGAGAGAAGTATTTTTACCAAAGTGGCAAATTCAATATAACGAGAAAAACATTAAAAAATTAACTTTAAAAAAAAAACAAGGCTTATATCAAATGTA